ATTTATAAACATGGGTCACATGTCACAAATTTTCATGTACAGGTCACATATTACTTTGCACAAGCCACGGACCACACACTCCTAGGCTCATGTCTCAAACATATACGCACAGCTCACGTGTCTCTTATTCCTGAATTTTGATTTTTTTTTGTCAGTACATGGACGTGTGCTTCTATTATCTATGGAAATTTGTAACCACGACCGACTCATTGTTCCAGGCGAAGATAAAAAATATGTATTCTCAGTATACGAAGGACCCGAATGTGATTATGACAGATTCGTATATTGTTGACGTTGCACAGGTGGCATGTTAGAACTTAATCGTCATTGGGCAGAAGTTGACTACATGCTGCTGCCACTCCTGCCCACGAATCGTGTTCATTGGGTGCTTGGTTGCCTGACCATGCTCTCTCCTTTTGGCTTCGCTGTGTTCCATTCAAATTACAAGATGTACTGGGAGAAAATGGTCCATGCTGGGATTGAACCATTGTAAAGATTATCCCTCAATTGTTGGCAGGGTTGGGCACTAGAAAAAGACATCGATGATGATGCTGATGATCCAATGAGGATGACAGTGATGGTCACTGAAAATATTTCGCATCAACAGAATGGGTATACTTGTGACTTATTAATATGTTTACATTCTCACTACTACACTTATAGTTGTATGGGTAGACCACCAGTCACATAGCATGCCGTGTTCTTAAAATATGCAAAAGTACACAGGTCACACGTCACGTACACACGTACAAGTCACAGGACACTGATATGCATGGGGTTACAGGTCACAAGTCAGTATGTTCAGGTCATAATCACTATACTCAGGTCACACACATATATGTACGGGTCACACACACACACACACACACACACACACACACATATATATACATGTATGTTATTACACTACCATTTCAAAAAGTTCTATATTACTATGTTTGTTGTTTTCAGACATGACAGCGGAATCTTTGTGATTAAGTATGTGGAATACATGCTACATAACGACATGA